ATTAGTTAAAATAATGAGATACAAATGAACTTTTTAGTCATTTGTTCCGTTTAGGGCTAGGAGGGGTTCCCTAACATTGAAGCTTCTATCACAATAAATCACTCCATTTCAGTGGTCAGAAAGCTATGGAACAAGCCTCTGTCAGCTGCAGAACTGGGTAAAGCAGGTAGCTTTCTATTGTCCAAGAAACGGAACAACTTTATCAAGCCAACCTCATTTGTACTTCTTGAAATCACAGACATTCAATCTAGACTGGACTTTGTATTGGCACGTCTAAGATTACAAGTCTAAGAAAAGAAAAGATCAGGACTTGGTTTCAGAGCACTTCATGGGTAACTAAAAAATTAAATCTCAATTTAATATGCTGCAGAAGAACTGGGATAGAGTAAGGTACTTTTGGTCTATTGTGGAGCAAGACTTATGATCTGGATGATAATGTGGATATGCATGCAACCAGTCTGTGTTTTCATGGCGTTTAACTAGCTTCCATCCCAGGAATGGTTACAGAAACACATGCATCTAGACTGAAGACAAAAAATTAATGAGCATAACATTAACCTAGATTTTCCAAAGTTATAAAATGATATATTATAAATATCCTATATAGTTAATGAAAAAATTTTTCTGAATGAAACTTTAATCCTTTCCCTTTATCAATTTGAAAACATTTCAAAATCAAAGGCTTATTTGAAGGCAGAACATATTTTACTGTAAAGTAGTTATAGTTTAAGCACAGCATAATAAAATATGTATTCAGCCATATTTTCTGTTACTCTTCTTTGTGTCCAACAGAGCTCAATAATTTAACCTATGGATATAGATAGCACAAAAATCAGAAATCACAGAATTTGCTTCCTGGTTGCTACGGATCAGGTATGTGAGTCATTTAAGTTTCATGATACTTGAAACTTCATGTTGTTAAGTACCTCACCATGTGGTGATGAGTCACAGGATGACTGATGAAGTGCTTTAGGCAGAATTCAAAGGGTCTTAGATTTATTTAGATAATGAAATACTAATTACACAGATTTTAAGATAAGTTGTTTTACTACATATAAATCTCTACTTTCCCTCATGACATTAGAAACATAATTGTAATAATTCCATGTATCAATAATTTTATTAGAAGTAAAACATAAAACTGAGCAGAGCCAAGCGTGGTGGTGCACAATTTTAATTCCAGCACTTGAGAGGCTGAGGTGGGAAGGTCATGAGTTCAAGCCTGGTTTCTGCTATGTAGAAGCTACTTTGGCTTATTTCACTTTCTCAAAAAAGAAAGACTTCTCAGGGACAGCAGTACCTTAAATATTATATAAGAAGCCCTTTCTCCCTCCCTGTGTTGGTGAAAATTCTCTCTCTTGTGGAAAATTCTTCAGATCCATGAAAATACTTAGCATAAAATGAGAATCTTGTGTGTGTGTGTGTGTGTGTGTGTGTGTGTGTATAGTGTGTGTATATTGTGTGTAACAAGTAGATAACTGGGATGGCATTATCAAGTCAACAACAGAGAGAGGAGTGGTGGAGGCAAGTCTTTAGGTTAAACTCATTATCTTCCATCTTCCTCCTCTGTTATAATCATGCTTCATTGTTTTTTGTCATGTATTACCTTCAAGTTTAAGTTTAAGAAGACATATCTTGTCAAATATAAAGAAAATTTTAGTATATTCATTATAAAATTCATTAAAGAGTTACAATTAGCATCCAAGCATTTTAATTAATTTTTTAGATTAGCATACAAAGAAATGGGTAATTATGACATTTTCATGCCTACATGTTACTAAATTCTGTTCTCAATCATTCCCCTCCCCCATTTCTCCCACGACTGATTCCCTTCTTCTCTCAGACAGTCTCCCCTTTTCCCTTCATGTAACATGTATCCTATTACCCTCTCCTCTGGGCATACTACTCCTTGGCATATAACCAAAGGACTCATCCTACTGCAGGGATACTTGAGCAACCATGTTTATTTTGTTGTAAATGTCCCTAAATTTTCTTCAATTGATGAATGGATAATGAAAATGTGGTACATTTACACATTGGGGTTCTACTTATCAGTAAAGAAAAACAAAATCAGGAAATCTGCAAGTGTTATACCAAGTGTAGTAACACGGACTCAGAAAAACAGGCAACATATGATCTCTCTCATTTGTGGATCCTAGCTCCAAATCCTTACATACAAGTGTATTTTTTACCACTCATCAAAGAAGCTTCTTTTGCAACAGATGGAGACTATTAGGGTTCTACAACTGCTCAAATGCAGAGAATAAAGGTCTCGGTGATACCCAGCCCTATGTGATACATCTATAATGCAACCTGTACACCTAAGGCTCAGGGGACATGGAATGGGGGTAGAGAGAATATTAATGCATCTCTCAACTCTTACCAGCAAAACTTCTTCATGCAGCAGAGGGTGATTAACACAGAAAGCCACAACTGGCCAAAGGTAGAAAATAAGAGACTGCAGAATGCATATGCCTGGATAGGACTTGTATATTAAGACCTGTGCAATCCAGGACTCAAGGACCATTGTGGAAGAGGGGCCAGAAAGACTGTAGGAGTTGTGGATGACCACAGGAAACAGAGTTCCCAGTGGCTGGGAACTTACTCATATGCACTTACAGTAATGGTGACAGCATGCATAAGACATATGCAAACTCAAACCAGACAAAAACCCCAGCATAGAACTGGGTAAATAGGTAAGATGCCCCAACCTTAGCTGAATAACTGTTGGAAACTGATCACTGCTGGATGAGGGAGAGCTGGTCTTCTTTAGAGGGTAATGCTAGATAGGTTGACCAGGCTCCAGTGGGTTGATGCACACTGAAGGACATTTGGGGATACTAATTTGACTTGATAGGCCTTAACATATATGACAGAATGCATGAAATCTGGCAGGGGTGGAGGGGTCTATGGGAAGATGCAGATAAGGGAGGGGGTCTAAACAGGATCATGATTTATTACATGAAATGCACAAAAAATCAATAAAATTTTTAAAAATTATGTCAAAAATCAAAATATGCTAATTTATTTAGACATGTCTTTCAAAAATCAAAATATTGAATACATTTTTATTTCCAAGTTTGTAACATTATTAATACTTGCTAATATAATCAATGACAATAGTTGAACATAAAAATTTTTTCTGGAACTCAGGGCTAGAGTAAAAGGTGATTTCAAAGTGTTTCTATAGAGGAACCCTATCTACTAATTTGTAGTAACCACAAGTCTGAAATGAATCCTTCCTAAAGAATATAGCACGAGGCTTGAAGTCTTTTTTCCTATGTGCAGTTTTAAGTTCTAAACCCAAGAGTTTTCCTTTGCAACTCAAGTGAACTGCAGTGTATCAGTAGATAGCATTTGTGTTTATCTCAATTCTACCCAAAAATTAGGCACAGTGCTCAACTGCAAGTTTTGGCAGACCGGTCTCAAGTTCTTCCTATTCCTCCCTCCCTTTGTGTGTTTGTTGATAATAACTTCGGACACTTGGAATTCCTGATGGGAACAAAGAACAAGATAATGAGTTCTGTACTTGTTGTCTGCCCCACCTTCTCTGTCCATCTACTTTCCCTATCTGAGGTCATAAGGTATCATTAGAAGAAACACTAGATGTTTTTCAAAGAAGCAGAATACATTACATCACTATAAAGCAATGTATTCGTTGAACTAACATCAGAAAAAGTGAAAATTTTAGTAAAATATAATCATAGAACTAGTGGCAATGAAAAGTAGCATAATGCTTTTGTAAACCAGTTAGCATAATGTAGAAAAACTACTCTAAAAATCAATACACCGTGTAATCTCATCAACTCATTTATACAGCAATCCATCTCAAGAAAATAATCTATAACAGCAAAGAGCTAACACAAGAGATCCTTGACTCAATATACACATCTGTATCTGCTCAATGAATATTAAAAATAAGAATAC